AAAAAGCACGACAACCTTCATAGACTTTGAAAATTTCAACAATGGCACTACAATGGGCCTGACGTACTTTCCGTGTATTTGAAATCGATCGACAATTGAGACTTCATGTGGATTCGACCGACACTCTCGCGAATTCGTCGCGGTTTTACCACCATTGATGGACACAATGGAAAATGGTTCCCTGTTAAATAAGGCCCTCTCTTGCAAGGGGCCTTATGCGTTTAGAATGGAACTCCTGATTGCCGTTATTCTTCGGCAATTCGGCAAACTAAGGATGTCACCTTTCTTTTTTTACCTTCGCTCCCACTTTCGCGGTTGGTTCGAAGGTTCATTTTGAAAAATATTTCCGGGTGGTCCAATGTATGAAAAAATCTTGAAAATTGAAAATTCACAATTTTTTCTTTTTCCAAGATTGCTACCGTACTACAAAATAGTTTCCCGTTTATCGACTATCAAATTCTCAGCCCGTCTCTGATATCCCCGGCACGAAAGACCAGACCATAAACCGCGTCGTCTTGACGACGCGGACGACGTCCGTCAGTCGACGAATCGGCGAAGGTAGACTAGCATCGACGTCGCGACGTCGCTCTCGCCCATCGACAATGGCATCGGGACGAAGATTCTTCGCTCGTTCGACTGGAACAGATTTCGTAATTGAATTCCATTTAGACACACCATGCTTCTGTCCTCGATAGCTAAACGATCTTCGAGCCTTTACCGGATCATCAGGTTGATCTGGAAGAGGCTGGAGAGTTCAGATATCAGAACAGAAGCCTGCGTTAAATCAATTATCAATTCGTCATCCTAGCTAACCAGCTTACACGGCGTATCTCGGCATTGTTTTCACCATACGGAATTCAATTATTTCAAAGTATCATGAAACTCGCCGATTTCATATATACATATATATCAAACCCATATAAAAAAGATACACTTCGTAAAAGTTCAATCTTAAATCGAATTTCATCTCCCGCGAAATCTCATGTCTTCTTAATTCAATTTATATCATCTCTATATCTATATTTCACTCGATCTCTCGGTTCGTGCCTTTTTCTATCTTACCGACGCAGACTCCGTGTCTCTTGTCACGCGTCATTGCACAACGCCATACTTTTGCTTTTTTTTTTATTTTTCATCTTCCCAGCATCACCACGTTTTTATCAATGGACCTTCCGAACCGAGTCATGATTTGATTCAGTAAACCCTACAGGTATAAGAGGAAGCTACGATACGATCACCAGTCATCGGTTGCCGCCATTCAAGCGACCATCATGTTCCTCGAACCACGTTACTATGGGACACGTAATTCCATGATTTGGGGTACATCGTGGCAGACAGTTTCCTTTACTTGCCCCTTTTTACTTTACTTACGTATATAAATACATTGTACATCGCTAGGTACTTATCTCTTACTTGGTCTTTGCCACGTGTAGAAATATATGCGGGCTTATATATATACATATATAATTATATATTATTTATCCACCTACATGGTATACCTAGCTGGATACTTACCTCTTTTATGAAGTGACGGGTTATCCACTTCCCTTCAACTTTTTACGTGTATCGATCGTTCCCTTGAGTTTTGCATTAAACATGCACGTCTAATCTACATGACTGGGATACGAGCATTTAGACGCTAACTGAATTTCATTATAGAACAGACTGTATTCTGGGTATCTAAAAACACAATTTGCATTTGGTCATTGGTAGATGTGACATGTAATATTAAAATTTTTTTTAAAAATTGACTAAATGGCAATTTTATCATATATTTTACAGGGTTGAGGGTGAGATGTGAAATTTTGAAAAAATTGTATATATGGTAAGTTGTGAGAGTTTGCCAAAATTTTTGGATGTCATGACAGTTCTACGAATCTTAAGTTTCCAGGGGTTCAGGCTACAACCCTTTTGAATGGGTCGGACTGTGGTATTGGTTTCTTTGTAAAAGGGGTGTATCTATTGGTTTCTGTTTCTGTAACCGATCTTGGCCGAGAGGGTCGCGTGGCTAATAAGCGGATTGGGACTGACACCTTCGCCAGGTTGAACAAAGAATGATCGTTTGTCCGATTGGTAATGGCTATCGGCGGGCATTGTTCGATTTTTGAAAAATCGCTGGTCAAGCGTTCCCGTCTTTGGGGAGGGGGCAACAAAGGGTGCCGCGATACTCGCGGGGTGGTCTTGCACGGTAACGGCGTCTTATGGGTCCTAACGTCTAACTAGAGTTTAATGCGCGAACGCGAGAGAATTGTGGGCTTCGGGGAGTTCCAGGGGTTTTCCCAAATTATCCTTCAAATTACAGAGTCACACCTTCACTACCTACAACTGGCACTCTTTCAAACTTTTGCCCCCGCTTCGGGTTCTAATGAATTTCGACCGCCAACGACGAGGCTGGCTGTCGGGTCGCGGATGAATTTTTGTATTATTTTCAAAATAACTGATTATTTGTATAAATCTTTGAAAAATACCGCTTATTACCGATTTGCCTCTTTTTTCGGGAACATCGAAAATATCCGGTAATACGAGGGAATAGTGCAAATTGGATTTATCGAAAATTTCAAATCGGACACGAATGCAATTTTTTTACGTAAAATTATATTTAAATTGATAAATTAAATTTTTACATTAAAATTATTTATTGATCCAATTATTATTCTTAATCCAGATTCATTTTTTTTTTTTTCATATAAAAATATCCCTGTTTCCTCTATTCCCTTATTTTGCTCAAAGGAGGTGAGCATCGTTCGTCGATACGAATTTTTGAACGAGGGTTATAATAATAATATAACTAAAAATAAGGATTGTCAGGTAAATCACCGTCGAAGATGTATCCGTTAATTTGGCGCGTTCGCGAGCTCTCGGGAAATATTTCCCGGTTCACGGGAAATAACGAAAAATCGCCTCGAATAAATTGCTAAGGGGTGCTCGGCAGTGGCGAGCGAAAGGCGGGCGAACAGTCAGCCAATCCGCGATGTTCGTGGGCGTTTCCATCGCAACGATCGCGTACGGTTCAAGAGTCGTCGTTCTCCGGTTTCCCTCTGGCAATATAGAGACCCCACTCTTCGTTCCTGGGATCTCCATAGCGCAGAGGTTAAAGGGGATTGCAGGGTGGATGACTTGGTTGGTAAGGGTAGGAATACGACTGTATATAAAACTTATGTTAGAAACGCAAGAGATGAAAACCACCCTGACCCCCGATATATTTACTATAAAAATATATATATATATATATGTATATTCGTACTGGGACGTGAGTCAGTATATAGGCTCTTCGCGTGACATAAACCGAGTTCTTGTCTATTAGGAATAAATACAGATATTCTCTGTAATTGGAAGAAGACAAAACATGATGGAGTAATCTCTGGGAGTAGCAGAATGCATAATCATCTTTACATGATTCTGTCAGGAATATGACTGATAAAATATAACACGTGTAATTGGTATCTGTAGAATAATTATAATAATGGGTTTAAGGATACGCTAAGATCTTAATACGAATTTTAGTATAAATAGACTCAGTGTAGGCGCTCAGTGTCAATAGGTACTCAGTGTACCCTGGATTTTGCATGTGAAGTATGGTAAAGGGATTGTAGGTAGATTTTTGATAATTTACAAAATTTTGGATTTTTCTTAAATTTTAAGGAACATCGACGTTGATTGACGTTTTGGAGTGTGGTGAATTATGGGGAACTGGTAAAAAAAAATGTATGATTTTTGCTAAAATTTTTGGTTAAATTTGACTTGGCGATTGTATCGAGGTTTAAGGGGGTATGTTTTTGAAGGGAGTGAGGAAAGAGCGTGTTGGTATTTAGGTTCGTTTAGGTCTAAAAAGAAGGTCCGATTGGTTCCAGAAAATCCTTATTGGGGGATAGTTTATCGTGTCTCCTTCTCTCCCACTCTCCTCTGCAGCGTACCTTCCCCCAAGGCCCCCGCGGTCCCTAGGGCCCACCCTAATATCTGGGGATCATGCTAAACGACGGTAGATCAAAGGGAACCGCCACAGAATCCAGTGGCGACCTATCATAATAATTTGCCCGGCTCGCGCCCCCTTTGTATTAGGATAGAAAAGCCGACAGACTAAAAAGGCCCTGGTCCCCGCTAAATTGAAGCTAAAAGGACTCTAAAAAGATTTTACTGATCTCGGAGGATGATGCGCGCCCGACGCGATCACGTAATCCTTTCGTACAAAACCGCCGGGCATTGCTTCCTCATAGCACTGCACCTAAGGTTTAACCCGAACAGATTTTTTGAAAACGTCAAATTACGCCTTTGTCGGTCGAAACGAGGAAACGATAACTGCCCCTCATTTTTTTTCGAAATCTGGAAATTTTCAATTTCCATCTGTCTGAGCAGACTAATTGCACTATGACCAGCTGCCAGTAGCCACTCACCGATGTAAATTACTACGGCAGTAATAAGCACCTCATATTTCTTAAAAAAAAATTTTTATTCGACCCTACTTATAGACACCCCACGGCACAAATCTAAATTGTCAAAAACGATGTATAAGTCGAAAAAATATGAAAATAAAAAATGGTATAACCACCCTATCGATTCTACGCCATTGCACATATGTACAAGTACTGAAAAGGCTTAAGAATAGTTGTAATCAGGGTTTCGACTTTTGCCAGATGCATACGTGGTAACGACTAAGGGGCAAAAGAAACGGGATGTGCATAATAGCTGGGACAAGCATAGGCCAACGGGTGAGGGACGAGGGTGAAACCATCAGGTTTTAAAATGGCGATATTCGCCAGTCCTCGTAGCTACCGTTGTCCTCTATCCGCGTGCCAAAGCGAAGCCGCGTTAAGTACGTCTCGTAAAAATTCCATCGAACCAGCGTCATTTTGCCGAGGGGTTGCCAGTGCGGGACACGGATGGGTGGTGCCGGCACAGACTCCGCCTTTTTAAGGCCCCAGCCGTTCGCCACCCCTCCTGTACGCGGAGCTTTGATCTCAGCCGACTCCCTCCTACACCGAGCTGAAGTGGGAACACGAAGCGGGATCCGTTCAAACCATTTCGAGTCACTGGCTTGACGTGCCGCATCACGGATCCGGGACCGGTGGGCCGCGCGCGATAATTTAACCAAGAATTTTGACGTTTCGACAGTGCGAGTTTACTCGGAAGATACAAATGGTTCCAAGTGCCGCTACGCGGATCGGAGCAAGTCGAGTCAGTCCTTGAAGTCCAGGCACCTGGACTGCCGGAGTGTCACGTTAAACAGTGAGATCCGATAAAGAGGAACCGATCGGAGTTTACCGTGAGAGACGTTTGGCTCCTGATGAATTGGCCCAGTTGGGTCCAGTTGGCTTGAGGGTGATCAGTGCTGTTTCTCAGACCCAGTGTACCAGTGCACGATGCGATTCTAGAATAGGAATAAGGTATCGTGAAGCGAGAATAAGAGACGTGGGATTGCCTCGGTGTACGAGGACTTACGTGTGATTAGTGATTCTTCTATTCAGCATGTCCCTAAATAGGGGCCTGATCATTTGAGAAGGATTTCCGAGAGGTGCGAACGGCTGATTAGAGAAGGTGGATCCGTCGCGAATACACGAGCGGGTAAAGATGCTGGAGAGTACTTGCTGAGAGAGTCAATTGAAATAATTGTGATTACGATTGATTATAAACAGTTTGATAAGAGAGAGTGATAAGAGAAAGGGGTGATAAATTTATCCTGGATAATGTGTACCACGGAAATGACAGAGGCCTGCACGATGTCACCGTCCACAGCATCCAGTAGAAGATCATCCGGTTGTGTAGGTTCACCGAGTCATCATCGTCGGACACCATCCAGAAGTCCTGCGGCACGTGCTGAGGCCCAGGAAGACGAAGATGAGATCTCCGTTGGGTGTCCCAGTCCTCTTCCTCTGGTACTGGTTTCTCAGAACGATGACGAGGAGAGGCTGAGCTCATCCAGAGATGAGTACAACGAGAGACTTAGCCCTAGAAGTTACCAGGATGACCTGGACGATGACGAGAGGTACTCCAGAGATGAGGATTACAGGTCCTCACCAGGAAGACGGGTACCGGAATCCAGGATGCTGGACAGCGACGTGACGTCCCTTCGGGAAGAGGATAGGACGGGAAACGGAAACGGCGGCACCGACGACTATTTCAAACCGTTGAAAAGACTGAAGATGGTCCAAATTCAACAGTCGGACGAAGAGGACGAACGCGAACGGGACTCTAATGAACGTGGAGTGAAGTCCTTCAGCATCCTTGACATTCTGTCACATCGGCCAAAGGCGAAAATCGTGCGTCCTTGGGACACGGTCGAGAGCAGTCATACTCATTTAAATCATCATCATCATCATCATCAACACTCTGGACCGCGTGATCTGTCTCTTATGGGAATGTCACTTGCATCCATGTCCGGGTCCATGAGTGAACCCCCGCTAAGTAGTTCCTCTTCCTCTGGACGAAGTTCCGTATCCGATTCGGGCAGTCCTGATCCTCTGGCTCATCATCATCATCATCATCATTCTCTGCATGGCATGCATCCTGGACTTCATCATCCGGCCATGCAGCAGCAATTCAAGAGGAAGGTACCTCAGCAACATAATTCCCAGGGTGGACAGAACGGCAAAAGGACTCCCGGTCAGGGCAGTCCGCTGGATGCTCTCTTTCAGATGACCAGCAAAACCTTCGATGCCGGCGAACACAGTCAAGGTGAGATGAGAATGTCGATTTGTATATTGCTAAATTAATTTCACGTCTCTGACTGAAAATTTTAATTAATTTTCTTTAATCCCGAAACAAACGAATTTTAAAGAACCGGTGCAACGAATCATTCGATTAAAAGTCAAAGTTGTCTGCTATTTCTTTATGCCAACTACTGACTTATATAAATTCAATGATTCTGCCGTAACATAACGAAAACTCCATAGAATTGTACAGGCTTATTTTCTGTAACCGTGAAAATCATAATGACGCGCTAATTATTGTGCGAATCGACGATGACAATTGACACGGGGATTGGACGCGACTGTCGAAAGTGACCGATTGTGAATTACCTTAGATTCAGTTAATTTAATGAAATTATCCGAAATTTTGCAACCGACACTCGCAATTCGCTAACGACATCTCTTTACTTCTTCGACAGACACATTCATCGATCACGGATACGTTACTCATTTATATCTATTAAAGAATGACCTTTCTTCTCCAACACGTTACTTCCCTTTAGCCTGCAGTTCCGCGAGGTCATTAATAATTACCCATCTGCACTGGTAATTGACCCTAACGGCACTAGTCTCAATGCGATAATAATTGCAATGTAACATGAAGCATAAAAGGTTCGTTAGCCAATTTTCAAGTCTTGCAAATATAAATTCCATTAACTCCACCGGCGTGTAAATAATAAAGAAAAATTAATAACTATTAAATAAATTAGACTGTCAATTATTATAATGAGTATCGCTTTATCACTATTAATTTTATAATTTATATATTTGAATATCACTGCTGCACCTGATGGCAACGTGTGTCGGAATTATTGCGTAGCAAAGCAATATACGCCAAGTTCGTAAAAAGGAGCCAGTCTTAAGAAATGGCAATAAAACTTTAGAATTTACTTAATTCAATTACCCGCTTACTTTCCGAGGGACAGTGCAAGATTTAAGTTATAACATCCGCAAGGACTTTAGAAAAGTCCCTGGACTAGACGAGGCGACCGTCGAGCCTAGCTTATAGGCAGAGCTCGTAAAGCCCAGTTTTCTGCAACAGAGATCGTCAGAGCTCGGTATAATTGAATTTGGCCATTATTCACCGGGATTAAAATCAGCAATAGCGATAATCATAAAAATAAAGCTTTACCACTTTTTTTTTTACTAGTACTAGTATTAATAACAGCAGTAGTAAGGATGCTTGCCAATAAAATTTTCTGTATTCCGAAACTGGGCTTTCCTCAGAGCCATTTTCAAGTCCCTGTAAGTCCGTATATGTTTTTCGGCTAGACAGACCCCTGGCCACCTGAAAAGGTCCACCTCGTGATCGGCCATTGTTTATGGTAGGTCCAGCAAATCGTTTTACGACACCTTTTTCGGTAATTGCATAGCCGAAAAGGAGAGACGGGGAAGGGATGAAGCAAGTCGAAGATGAAAAGAGACGAGGTGAGGGGGCGAGACAGAGAGAAAAAAAAAGGAACAGGGACTCCGACCAAGCCAAAAATAGATAGTCCGCTGCACTCTAAACGCCTAAACCATTTTGAGATGAGAGACGGAAGATTCTCGGTATAGCACAGCAATTTCAAATATTGTCAACAGTCCAGGTTGCTGCAGTTCGACAGCATCGATTTTTCGTCTTTGCGAATCCTGAATAAATATTGAACCACGTGGGAATTCAGTCTTATGAAAATATAAGGCAATAACGTTACGTCAAAATTGATGTCTATTAACTCGTAGGGGAGAATATTGAGGGGTGGAGAAATTATGAAAAAAAAAAGAAGAGGTGGTTTAAGTAAAGAAGCTACTGCTGCTCGCAGTACCTCTTATTACGTGATCCAGTATCATATGGAGTCTTTAATACGTATATACAACGTGCACGTATATTCAGTATGTATAATTTTAGGCCTACGTACAAGCAAGTAATTTATTACGCGTCTCCGAGAGCATATGTCTCATTTGCATATGGCGTGATAAAAACATGCAGTCAGACTTCCGACGGGCCAATGGCGGTATCTGTTGTAAGAGATAGTTTGACAATAGGATATAATTTTTTTTCATTCTTCTGTTTTCTCTATACGCGCCTATATCAATGAGGAAAGAAGGAAGTACATTATACGAGGATACGTCGCAGTGCCTTAGGCTCGTCCACAGTACCTTATGCCTGCGCCACAGTACTCCCATTTACAAAACAAACGTCAGATCGAAATCCACGTGCTGGGATCGATTCGTGTTATTCACGGAAAGGCATGTGCGACGTGCGAGGAAGCCGCCGGAACAGAAATCGACGTGTAATTCTTGCCTGGGGCTACTAGGTGTATATATGTATATACACTAAGTTTGAATCGTTTTCACGTTCTTTTGGAATTACCGATGCTTTCGTCGTGTGCGTGTTTACAAAAGATATTCTTCATGCTAATCAAACGTGAAATGAAGCTATCGAAACCTGTCGAAATTAAACTAATCATCTTCGAACCTCTTGTGTAAATAAATTCTGATACCAAAAGATGAATCTGTCGCCTCGTATCAGATCGCTTGAACGATATTTTCCAAAATTATTGAATAAATTTCGAGCAGCAAACATGAGAATGACAAATAGGGACGCAGCTGAAAAAATAAAAAGTTTTTGGAAATTAAAAAAAAATCTTGCAGTATCATATGCGGTTTGATTTTTTACTTGGTTTGTCTACCGGTATATATGATAAATCATGCTTTGTTCACACGCGGGACCCACACTGCGGTCTCTGGCGTGAATTACGAGTGATATCAAATCGAATCGCTCGTAATATTATTTGATACGTGTTCCATTACGATACGAAGCCTCGGGATTCAAATTAGATTACCGGCCGGTTGGGCATCTTGCCGATCGCATGGGTATTCCTTGGGGTCCGTGTTATGGGATACAGCGAGGAGCGTAGTCCCAGAGAGAATATGGCTGGGGTTACGTCGTATCATGGGGGATATATATATATATATATTACCATTGGCCCGTAAGGCCCCACAGCACGGTAGCCTCACGTATCCGCAATTTACTTCTGATTATTATGCTCTCTATACTTACGCGGCATATTCTTATCCTGCTGGTATCTCCTGCACGGCGCCCTTCGAGAATCGAACTTTCGATGTACGACAGAATCATTGGAAATATCTCTATCGATCCGTACCGGTCATCGTTTACCGGTTACCATCGATTTCAGGAATTACAATCTCTAAGTAGATTCGTACGTGAGGGATATTAAAAAAAAAAAAGTTTCACCAGTCTATATGAATTCTCATTATCGATATACCGATTTTTGTTATTTTCCCAAAGAATCGTATAAAAAATTAATAAAAATGCACGTGTCCGAGTTCTAAAAAATTTGCAGCAGGTTCCTTTGGCTAAACTAATTCGCCGATTTTTTCACGTAATCCATCGGGCAGACAGAAAAAGACCGGCAGTGGCTGATGCTTTCGGTTGCGCATTTCGCATTGGGTCGCCACTTGAGTTTCCGGCTTGAAAGAAAGAAGAAAAGCCTCTCGCGTCAAGCTGTTGTGACAGTTTGCTAAGCAAACAAAACGCCACCACCGGCCGCCCAGGGCCTCCCAGGATTTTTTATTTTACGAGGTCGGCCCCCGCCGTTAAGAGACCTACCCTTGTTTCCAAACAAGTACCGATGGGACATCGTGTGCGAAGTGTCTCTTCTGGTTGGGATCCTGGTATCCCTTCAGGAACAAGGGCTCCGGTTACCAGTTTCTTACCCTCAAGTAAAATGAGCCCCTTTCGAGTGGTTTTGAGAGGTATTGTTCTGCGCGAAAATATGTATTCCTAAATTCACCCTGTCCTTGCACATGCATCCCTTGCGGGCGATAATCGAATTTGGTGAGAAAAAAATAATTTTTTTAATAAAACTTTTGAATGCAGGAAAATATAATTTTTCAAAACCAATAAAATTTTTGCAAAAATTTTTAAGTCTATTTTTAGCCTTGAAAAATTTTAGCCAATCTTACGAAGGCAGTGCTGGTAACGAGCACGTTCGGTATCGTCCGTCGCGAATCATGCTGAAATTTACGCGGGTAGTTACGCATGCAGATGGGAACCACCTACTGTGCGTTTATACCGATCCGATCGGTCTGTGTACGCCCGTTAAAATTAGCGAAGGGGATTTATCAAGCGGAATCGGGACGCGCACTCCTATTGCGGGGAATAATTCTCAATTAGCTGCAAATCGCGGGCTGCTAAGTCGTATTTATGTCGGCTGGCACGGGGCTCGGATTTATATTGGACCGAGCGGGGAGATTTATGCGACCGATCCGTCTCAGTTTGTCTGCCCGATCCCAGGCCCCATGTCCAATCATTGCTATTCCTTCTTCCATCTCGTACTCACCCCCTGTAACTACCACTGCTGCTGGGTAGCGACACGCTGGACACACTTCCTTCTCCTTCACTCTGACACCCTGTCGAATCACTCCCACGTGACGATTGACTAACACGTCGGCACTCTTCGCCGTGGGGAATCATTGGCGACCCTTGACGACAAATAGAAATAAATTTCCAACAGATTATCCGGGGGAATCGGTTTCGCACAATCTAACCCTGAAATTAGGGCCGGAGCTATTCTGGACAGTTAAACGAATGTTTGCTAATAATTTATCTGTCACCCCTTCGGTCACGTTGCCCCGAATCATTTGGAATTGATTTGTCGAACACGGCCGACCACCTCCGGGGTAGGAATTTCCTTATTGACAGAGATATTAGACATTTGTGAAATTGGTTTTACAAAATTACATGTTTTCTTGTGCTTGGGGTAGCTACAATGTCGGTATAGATGAGACGATTGAATTTAGAAAAAATATATAAAAAAAATTTTTAGGTGAAAATTTTTTACTACAGAATCACGTTTCACGCGTTATATTGGATATAGATTGAAAATAATCGGATTTGATAATTTTTATGTTTCATCGGTCTGTCTACGTGTTTATGAATATTTCCATCAAGTCCGACTGAAAAGTATCCGTACTGCGGTCCGT